CTTAGAATCCAGGCACCTTATGATGTTCAATGGGGACTGTTATGATTTGTGTCTTGACATCCCCCAAAGCCTTGTGTGGTCACAGGGATTTTTCAGCATGGCTGAATCTGGAGTGTATGATTGGTTCATAGTACAAAGCTGAAACAAGGGTGTTGAGAGTAAGGGTGGTTGATTGCTGGATCAGTTCACCAATTGGACAGGCTAGTCCTAGTCCCAGTAGCCTGCATACAATTTGAAAGGTCAGAAAGATGACGTCAAATTCTTTTGGTTGCTGCTTTTGCTGTCTTTTGCCCCGTGAACTGTTGCCCTCTACCATGTACCACCTTGTCTTGGAAACAGCCAATGTGGACTGAAACCTCTATAAACTGTGAGCTAAATACATCATTCCTCCTTTAACTTTGGGTGTTGGGGTATTTTGTCTCAGAAATGACAAAATAACTAAGATAGGCACTGATATGATAGATCTGAACTTATTTAACATGTTTCCTAAGCACCCATGTGTTTAGCTTGGCTCATCACACAGAGGAAAACTCTACTCACTGACTCTGCTGATGCCACTTTAGTTCAACTCAGCATATGAAACAATGAACAAAACCTCACTCTAGAATAATTTTAAGTACATTATTGGAACACAAAGGAAACACTTGCAGAACTACAACGTAGTTGGTATAGTCAGGCTTCATGGAAATGGAAGTAGTTTCTAGCATCTCCTATTCTTACACTTTTCTCCTAGGCATGTGTTCTTCATCCTGCTTCTCTCACTGAACCTGTTGCAGTCTCCCCCTTTACAGAAAACAACCTCCCTCATATTACAGCTTTCTGTTTTTCCATGTTTTCAACTTGTGTGTGGCTCTGGCTTGTTCCAGCAATGACTCTATAACCATTTTTGTAGTGTCAAACCCCAGCAGTGTTTTTCTTCCACTAAGCCTTATAGTTCAAATTCTCCCAAAAAAAGGTCATCCCATGTTTGCTGTACCAATTTGTTATACCAAGCAGGTACAACATCCCTAATTTGTTGTACCAAGCAGGTTGAGTCCACTAATTGTCTATGTGGCCAAGATCCTCGGCCAAGTATTAGAATAGGAATCTTCTAAGAGAGAATGTGGACTGTCATTAGCATTTTGTGGACAGAGACTGAATAATCATTGTGCAGTATTTCTGTATAAAGAGAGTAACTGTAAAACCCTTCCAAGTTCAGATTTCCAAGTTACTAATTTCAACAAAGTAACAAATTTGAAGAAGAAAGACTTTTGCAAGTTCTCTGATCACTCAGAGTATGTGATTGATCATAGTACCATTGGCCCAGCTAAGTATTTCCTGCCTTAGTATCATGCCCATTGTTCAGCTCATGGCTTCTGCTAAAAATCCAGAAGGAGCTGATTCTTAACTTCACTCTTTCCTTTATTTTTCAAATTCAGTTGTTCAATACGATGCAGCAGTTTTATATCCCAGACTGTCTCTTGTCCCATAGACTTTTCCTCATCTGTACTGATGCCACTCTAGTTCAGCTCACCATTGTTTTTCACTTAAAGCATATCAATTTTCCCAAAGCTGTGTTCCAAAGACCCACACAATATCACTCTGTACAAGGAAGCTGAAACAGCTTCATTAACCAATTCCTACCATGTCACTTAAAGTTTAAAACAAGCTTAAACTTTCCTTTTAAAAAGGCTCTAAGTTTGAAAGCAACTCCATACAGTTTGTGTCTGTTAATCTCTCTGGCCTCATCCTATACCACATTAATCCTTGCTTGCAAATTGTTGTTTATATAGGTTACCTCAAAAAATAAAAATATACCAAGTTTTCTTTCTCCTCAAGATCTTTAAATTTGCTACTATCTCCTCTGTCAGGAACTTTTTTTTCTACTGCCCTTGAACTGGATAATTCCCATGTGGCCTTCACACTTAAATATGACGTCCCCAGGGAAATCACCCCTGAAGAAAGTTTGCTCCCTGGAACTCTGTGTTTGCTTTCTGCAAAACTCATCACAGTTGAATATAGTAATCCACTGTCTGTCCTTCTTCCCAGAGTGAAAGGTCAACAAGGACAATTTATACTATCTTCAGGGCCAAGACATTGCTTTCTTGAAATTAAATTGACTTAATATGTGCAGAAAGAATGAATTATTGATAAAGCTAGGATGACTATCAGCCATTTTTAAGATGTGAAATTCTATTTTCTTAGGTTTTTAGAGATGAGGAAAACCTAATACTTTTAGAAATCTCAAAACATGATTATAGAATGTAGGACAATTTGTGAAAACTTCTAAAAGGAAGAGTATATTAAAAATATTATGATATTTCTCCATAGAAGGTGAGAAATAGCCAAAAATTTATGTGAATTATGATTAAAGAAAATATTGCTATAAAGGATGTCAAATGCATATATGCAGGAAATATAACATTTAAATCCTTTAAGGAAAGTCATATAAGAAATGGTGACTATATACCAGAAACTGTTCTAGATATTTTAGATAAGTATTGAGTGAAAAAAAAGAATAAAAAAGAACCAGTGAATTCCTTTATGAAGTTTGTATTCTAATAGCATGCTAAGGCAGATCAAATACACAAACATACAAAAATCTGAAAGCACTTTTCATTAATAACTAGGCCAAATTTTGTAAAACAAATATTTCTAAACTTTACTAACCCTAAATAGTAGTGTTTCTCTCCTATCCATGTATTTCATAGGACATCTCCTAGATATTTCAGAAAAACACAAGGGACGGGCATTGAGGCACACATCTGTAATCTCACCATGTAGAAGGCTGAGGTAAGAGGATCACCATGAGTTCAAGTCCAGCGTTGACTACATAGACTCTTTCTAACAAAAGAAGAAGGAGGAGGAGGAGGAGGAGGAGGAAGAGGAGGAGGAGGAAAAAGAAAAGAAAAGAAGAAAGAAAGAAAAATAGAAAAAGACACAATGATGGAATTTTGGATAAATTTAGGAACAGAAGTTGATATAACCTCTTCCTGGATTTTAAACAGATTTATGTTTAAATAAATACATATTTGAAACTACACAACTCAGACATTTTAATGTAATGGAAAGGCTCATGTATTATTACTCGCCAAATAATTCTAACAAAGAGCCTTACAGGAAATTCATCAATTTCAGTGACCTTACCCCCATTTCCTGTAACATCCAGCTTTTAAACTGAAAGTGATGACAAAAGTCATGTGATAGAAGAAGATAAAGTGAACAAGCTGCCCAATAAGCCCTTCTTCAGACTGGTCAAGAGCAAGCTGAAAATCTAGATGCCAAGGGCGAAAAAGAAGCCATGGAAAAAAGAGTGATACAGCATCCTGTCATGGTTTATGTTTGTGTCCCCCAGGCCTCATGAGTTTGCACTGTTCATATGTGATGGTTCATTGTCTAGTGCTTGGATTGATGGTGTCAGTGCTCCACCCACAGAGGGGTGGAGCCAGGATGTGATGTAATGGCAGGAAGAAGGTGTGTCTTGCTCTTTGCTGGTTTCTGTTTGCTGTTTGCAGCCGCCATGAATGGCGGTGCCGCCATGAATGGCAGTCCAGCCATGCCCGCCTGTCTTGGAGCCAACTGAGTATGGACTGAAACCTCCAAAAACTGTAAGAAATAAACCTTTCCTTTCCCAACTTGAGCATCAGGTATTTTGTCTCAGCAACGAGCATAAAGTGACCAAGACAGAAATTTGTTACTGAGGAGTGTGGTCGTTTGCTGTGACTATACCTGGCCATGTTTTTCAAGAGGCTTTGGAAATGGCTTGTGGGTGGAGTTTGGAAAGGCTTGGACATGTCACCTGGATGCATAGAGCTGGAGCAGCTTAGGCTGTTCTGTAGAGGAGGTTCTGGTCAGAGCTCAGGAGACCAGAAGGCTGATGATAGAAAGCCTCATGGTAAAGACCAGGCTTGGGAGGTTTCTGCTGGAAAGGACTGCATTGGTTGTTGGACTCCACATGATGTGTGTTATGGCTTGGCAGAAAGTTTGTCTGCATTTTGCTCCTGCCCAGAGACTTTGCCTGAGACTGAGACAAAGGGCAATGGACTGATTAATCTTGAAAAAAAAATTAAAAAGCAACCAAATGTTGAGCTGTGGCGTGGCTATTGTTGGTGGCTTTCAGCCAGCTATATCTCTCAAATCAGGAGCAAAGAGCCCAGCAGGATAATGTACAATGCTGTGAATTTGGTCGAAAGGAAGATTCCAGGAAGGCTGTGGATTGTAAAGACAGAATTGAGATTTTGATTCCTGAGGAGAAACAGAGAGATAAGAAAGATGGTCCCGGGGCATCCCAGGAAGCAGGTCCCCACCCTGTGCAGCCTCACAGCAAAGATGAAAAATTTTGCTCAGAGGAAAAAGCTACAGAGTGCCAAGCTCCAGAATGGCGACAGAGGCCATGTGAGGTTCCAGAATGGCGGCAACCCAGAGAAGCTTTTCATCACAATCAGGTAAACAGAGCCCTGCGATCCAGGCAACTGACCCCTACAGCCAAGAGAGAGAAAAGCCTGGCCACTGCTTCAGCTAGCCGCAAACCTTGGCAGCATCCACAAGGTGCTGATTTTAGGTGCAAGGAAAATGCACGAATTCTGAGGGTAAGAAGGCTTCCACCTTGATTGCAAAGGGCCTGGGAGGCCAAGCAGTGTGCCCCTGAGAGGGCAATTTGTGATGATGTAAAGGTGAAGCCGAAGGTGCAGTGGAGACCCCAGAAGTTTGGAAAAGCCAGGAATGTGGATGATCCAAGGAAAGCTGCAAAAAGCAAGCAGAGAGGATTTAAGAGAAAAGCTGCGGGAGTTGAAATGCTGGAAGTGCCCTGGGGGTGGAATCACCCAAGCCTTTTGGAACTTGCAACCAGATTGCTTCAGATGCTGAGTGTAGAACTCTAGGACTTAATGTTTGCCCTGCTGGATGTTGGAATTGCTTTGTTTCGAATGCCTTCTATTCTCCTGTTTGTAACTTTTGGAATGGTAATGTTTATCTTGTGCCTTTGCATTTCAGAAATGTTTAACCTTGTTTCTTTTGTACAGGGGCTTACAGTTTGCCACAGATCATGGAGGAGACTTGGGACTTGGATTTTTCAGCAATGTTGAAGCTGTTAGGACTTTGGCAACTCTTGGAGGTGGACTAAATGTCTTTTGTATAAAGGATGTACATGAGTCCTGGGGGCCAGGGGTGGAATGTCATGGTTTATGTCTGTGTCCCCCAGGCCTCATGAGTTTGCATTGTTCATATGTGATGGTTCATTGTATAGTGCTTGGATTGATGGTGTCAGTGCTCCACCCACATAGGGGTGGAGCCAGGATGTGATGTAATGGCAGGAAGAAGGTGTATCTTTCTCTTTGCTGGTTTCTGTTTGCTGTTTGCAGCCGCCATGAACGGCGGTCCAGCCATGCCCACCTGTCTTGGAGCCAACTGAGTGTGGACTGAAACCTCCAAAAACTGTAAGAAATAAACCTTTCCTTTCCCAACTTGAGCATCAGGTATTTTGTCTCAGCGATGAGCATAAAGTGACTAAGACACATCCTTTTTAATTTTTGTTTTCATTCGAAGGGATTTTATGTTGATGTAAAGCTAAACAATAGATTCAGCAAGAACAAAGTTCACAGTACAATAGTGCTCCAAAATGTATATCAGTTCAAAAGAAAACAGGGCTGCTCAAAACATAGAATCTTTTTTTTGTTGTTAAAGCCAAATTTAACTCAGAGAAGACAATTCTGAACATATCAGGTGTTCTATAGCTTCTTGCTTTGAGTTAATCAGAATCCATAAATGTTTCTTACAGGAGTTCCAGCACACTGGCTTGAGCCTGGGGAGAGTTTAAGATCATTGCTCCCAGCGGTTAAGGACCCACCCAGTGTCCAGCCACACTAGACTGGGCTTTGCAGGTTTCATGGACCTAGCTGGGCTACGCACAGAGACCTTCTTTCAATCTGGGGAAACAATCAGCTACACAAAGCAAGTATTAACAGAAATGAAAAATCAAATAAGCAATAACACAATTAAACAAGAGACCTTAATACATTATTGACACCAAGGGACAGAAAATCAGTAAAGAAATAACAGAACTGAATCCCACATGTGAACAAATGGACTTGACAGATATATACAGTGTTCCATCCAACAACATCAGAACATACATTCTTCTCAGTGGTACATGGGACAGTTTTTAAAATAGACCATATACTAGCCCACAGAACATATTTAAGTAAATGCAAAAGAGTTGAAATTATCCCATGCATGTTATCAGATCATAGTGCCATTAAACTAGAAATCAATGATAAAAGAAACTGCAAAAACACCACAAATACATGGAAATTGAATAATATACTCCTAACTAGTCAGTGGGTCATAGAGGAAATTAAAGAAGAAATGAAACAATACTGATAAGCAAACAAAAATACAAATACAACTTCCCAGAATCTGTGGGATGCAATGAAAGTGGTCCATAGAGGAACATTTACTGCACTGAGTTCCCATATCATGAAAACAAATAAACAACCTGATGCTACACCTTAAACATCTAGGAAAAGAAGAGCAAGTCAAGCCCAAAGCCAAAAGAAGGAAGGAAATTATAAAAATCAGAGCAGAAATTAACACAATAGAGACTAAGAAAATAATCCAAAGAATCAACGAATCGAAGAGTTGGCTCTTTGAAAGAATAAATAAAATTGATAAGCCCCTAGCTAACCTTATTTAAACAAGGAAATAAAAAGCTCAAATTCATGCAATAAGGAATGAAAAAGGTGAAATCACTACAGACTGTGGAAATACAGAAGATCATCAATACCTATTTCAAAAACCTCTACTCTCATAGGTTCCATAACACAGAAGAAATGGACAGAATTCTAGAAACATATGTGAAGTACCAAAGCTTGGTCAAGAAGATGTAAAACTGCTGAATAACCCAATTTCTATTAATGAATTAAGTCCTTACCTACAAAGAAGAGCTCAGGCTCAGATGGATTCACTGTGGAATTCTACAAGACATACAAAGAAGACTTAATGTTGACACTCCTCAAACTCTTCAATGAAATTGAAAGGGAAGCAATTCTTCCTAAGTCATTCCTGGAAGAAAATATTACTCTAGTACCAAAACCTGAGAAAGACCCAGCTAAAAAAGAGAACTACAGGACAATCTCACTAATGAACATAGATGCAAAAATGCTCAATAAAATATTGGCAAACAGGATGCAGCAAATCATCAAGAAGATTATACACCATGACCAAGTAGGATTAATCCCGGGCATGTAGGGATGGTTCAACATACAGAAATCAATAAATGTAATCCACCATATCAGCCAAAAGTAAGAATCACAAAATCATTTCTATAGATGCAGAAAAAGCTTTAGATAAGATCCAACATTCATTCATGATAAGAACCTTACAGAAAATTAGAATAGATGGTCTTTACTTCAATATGATAAAGGCCATCTATGACAAATCAATAGCCAACATCATATTAAATGGCCAGAAACTGAAAGCCTTTACCCTAAAATCAGGATGTCACTTATCACCACTCTTATTGAACATAGTACTGGAAATACTAGCTGGAGCAATTAGACAAGAGAAAGAAATAAAAGGAGCAAAGATAGGAAAAGAGGAAGTTAAATTATCATTATTTGCAGACAACATGATACTCTATATAGAAGACCCTCAAAACTCCATTGAAAGACTGTCATAGTTTATGTCTGTGTCCCCCAGGCCTCATGAGTTTAAAATGTCCATTTGTTATTTGTTCATTGTCTAGTGCTTGGATTGATGGTGTCAGTGTTCCACCCACCTAGGGGTGGAGCCAGGATGCGATGTAATGGCAGGAAGAAGGTGTGTCTTGCCTTTTGCTGGTTCCTGTTTGCTGTTTGCAGCCGCCATGAATGGCGGTCCAGCCATGCCTGACTGCCTTGGAGCCAACTGAGTGTGGACTGAAACTTCCAAAAACTGTAAGAAATAAACCTTTCCTTTCCCAACTTGGGCTTCAGGTATTTTGTCCCAGCAACAAGTAAAAAGTAACTAAGACAGAATTCTAGATAAAATAAATAAATTCAGCAATGTAGCTGGATACAAAGTCAATTCTCAAAGATCAGTGGTATTCCTATACAATAACAACAATATCACTGAGAGATAAATAAGAGAAACTGCATCCTTCACACTAGCATCCAAAAAAAATGAAATACTTAGGAATTAATCTTACAAAAGAAGTAAAAGATCTATACATGGACTATTATAATATCCTGAAAAAAATTGAAGAAGATCTCAGAAAATGGAAGGACATCCCTTGTTCATGGATAGGAAGAATAAATATTGTGAAAATGGCCATTCTCCCAAGACTCATATACAGATTCAACGCAATCCCTATGAAAATACCATCAACATACCTTATAGATCTAGAGAAATCACTCCTAAAATTCATCTGGAACCAGAAGAGATCTAGAATAGCAAAGGCAATTCTAAACAGCAAAGGCAAGGCAGGAGGCATCACAATCACTAACTTGAAATTATACTACAAAGCTACTGTAATACAATCAACATGGTACTGAAATAAAAACATCTGAAGATCAATGGAAGAGATTAGAAGATACAACTACAAATACACTCAACCACCTTATCTTTGATAAAGGGGCCAAACATGTTCACTGTAAGAACGACAGTCTCTTTAATAAATAGTGCTGGAAAAACTGGCTCTCCATATGCCAAAAACTAACACTAGACCCACGCCTATCACCATATACTAAACTAAAAGTTTCTACATGTCAAAAGAAATCTCCAGCACAGTGAAAAGTAAACCCACAAACTGGCAAAATATCTTAGTGAACTGTCCCTCAGACAAAGGAGGGATACATGTTTATAGAAGCACAATTTGTAATAGCCAGATCTTGGAAAAACTTAAGTGTCCATCAACTGAGGAATGGATAAAAAAAAGTTGTGGTATTTTTATACAATGGAGTACTACTCAGCTATAAAGAATGATCACATGAGATATTTGTAAATACATGGACACACTTGAGACCATACTCATAAGTGAAATAAATCAAACCCACATGTATAAATACCATATATTCTCCCTAGTGTAAGAAATGGTAAGAGTACCTACGATTTTATGGTAATCATTATTCTCCATTGCATTGCTTTGAAGCCTTATCATGTTTTTATTCATTAGTTGGAATGGTTTTATTCTCTTTTATTTGATTTTCTTATCTGTGATAGTATGAACAGATAGTTTGAAGAAAACAAGACATTATGACAGCCATTGTTGTTTTAATATCATCTTGCTTTGAAGTCCTACCATGCTTTTGTTCTTCTGTTTCCATTGGTTCTATCATGTTGTATCTTATTGGATTTTAATATGTGTGATAATATAAACAAATTTTTTATGGAAAATGAGATAATACAGTAGTCATTGTTCGTTTTCTGCTATTTGGTTCTTAGTGCCCTGTAATACTTTCGTTCTCTTGAATGGTTTTATACTATTTTGTTATGTTTGATACTGTGGTGTGTGAAGGTATGCTCAACTATTTCAAAGAAAGACACTATGGTAGCTAATATTGGGTTGTCTTGTGGTGAAGTACTATGTTACTTACATTGCTCTGTTGTGATCTGCATTTTTCTGTCCTCTTTGGTCTTAATCTCTTTAAAATAAAAAAAAATTTTAAATTTCTTACAAATGTCATCAATGTGATCTCTAATAACATCATAAATTTATCAAAAATGCATCTATTATTATTAATTTTATTATTAAATATTATTAATATTTTTATTTATTCAAGATAGGATTAGCACATGTAGCTTGTCTATTAAGGTGACCTATGTGTCAGACAAAAGTAAACCAAAAGCCCAGAGGTAGAGAGGAATCTGGACAGGTGGGCAGGAAGTTATGGTCTGTAATTACTTTTGTGGCCTGGACAATAGTAACAAGTGGTTACTTGTCAAGCAGTCAAACTCTAAAGACAGCAGAGTAGATAGACGGAGAGAGAAAGAGACAGAGAAAAGGAGGAGGAGGAGATGGAGAAGGAGAAGAAGGAAGGAAGGAAGGAAGGAAGAAAGGAAGGAACGGAGGAAGGAAGGAAAATGGGAGGTGAGTATCTAGCTACCCATTTGTTGTATGGGTAACAATATTGGTCCAGTTTTTTTTGGGTTTTTTTGGGTTTTTTTTTGTTTTTTTTTTTTTTTTGCTTTAATTCAGGACAATTTTAAAGGGTGATCTCAGCTACAGATTTTCTCTTGTATCAGTTGAGGTCTTTGTACAACTGTATAGACTTATGGTTATTACTCTGTTCAGTCTTTCTCCCTGTACCCCTCCTCTGCACAGTGTCAAATTTGACAGCATCTTCCATAAACACTTAACATATGTATCTCTTCCTTGTAGTCTATTTCCTAGGAAGCCCAAGGATGCATGCTCAGAATTAACTTTTGAAGCTGGAAAGCTGATGATGTTTTTTTGGTAATGAGGATCCCAACAAGTATGAATAAAGAGAACACAAGTAATCTCTGGGTTGTAGCAGCAACTTGGATGGAATGCTGAATCAGATATCTGAAAGAAGGTCCCCAGGAACCCTACCCTCCTCCTGTGAGTAATCACCTCCCACACCGAGTCAGTGTGATCTATACACTTGATAGAATACTACTGAAGAGATGGCTATGGCTTCTGAAGCTAGATTATTAACACATTAAAACTTCCACGTGGAATCTCAGATCTCTCTTTCTCTGGCTTTTGGTGAAGCCTGATATAACATGTAATGAAAACATTCAAGCAGCTCTGTAAAGAAACACTAGGCTGATTGCAGTTATTTGCCAGCTATGTGAAAATGGGGATTCAAGTACCAGTGAAATCTTTCTATAATAGTGTAGCTCTAGTGCACATGCTTCTGAACTAGTGATGAGCCAGAGAATGTTCAATTGAATTATTTCCTGATTCCTGATCCAATGAGACTATAAAAGATTATGTTTATTATGATTGCTGTATAGCAATTTATAATTAACAGAAATACTGATGGAAGAGATATAGTAAAAATGTGATAGATATTGTATGTTTAAGAAGCACCAATTATAAAGATTATTAGACTGTCTCACTGCTGAAATGAGGGATGAAAACCTCAGAAAAGGGAAATAAATTCTTGTCGGAATTATCACTTTAAAACTGTGAAAGACAGTCCCGCTGACAACATACAAAGGAACTCTTACGTCTTGTGTGTAAGTGGAGGTAGGAAAAGCTGTGGACCAAGCCAACAAGTTAAACATAAAAATAATAAAGATTCAAAAGAAATTAAATTTTCCAAGATTTCAGTTCCATAATGCCAGGGTCAGACCCTGGGTGTGAAGCACTAGGATGCTGATTGGGTTATTGGGGTCAATGCATCAAAATTTCTTGAACTCCTCCATTTGCTTGAATTCTTTGGGTCTGCAAATTGACCCACCCTTCTTAGTCAAGGATAGTGCTTCTCCTTTGTCTAAAAATGATGTAAAAGTTCTTATTTTGTTAAGTGCACATCTATACACATACGCACACACACACACACCTCTCCATGAGCTACCTTCCAATTATGTCTTCTAAGACAATAATTGGAATTGAGAACAAAGATATTTCAGTCAGGGAATTACCAGTGCCTTCCATGGAAAGAAAATACCCAAGTTTCCAAGTCATGAAAAGGTCACTAATATGTAAAAACAGATGGCAGGTATGACACCTAAATTGGGTTGTCAACCTGATTGACTTCAGTTCTGTCCAAAGGAGTGGTAAAGCACACATCCTAGTCTGTCTGAGTGTGTCATGACATGCCAGTGGGGTCTACACACGGTCTCTTTCCCATTCTTCTCTGGCAGCTTTTCCCCTGTTCTGCATCCCAAACACTGTGATCTAAGCAGCTTTGATCCACCACACCTTTCTATCGTGATATTTCTGCTTTGGAGCCAGCCAAAGATGATCCTATTTTCTAAAAACATGAATCAAATTAAGCTACTCCTAATTTAAACTCCGAGTGCCAGACATTGGGTTCCTACGGTGAGAAGGTTAGCACAGCAAGAGAGTGCATACAAGACTGAATACTGAGAATGCTGGGCCAAGGATAGTGAAATATAAAATTGGAGGAAGAAAAATTTATTAATATGGAAGCACTCCACCATTAAACAAGATTTAAGGCTATAGAAAAAGATCTTGGGAGATAAACTTAATATAGTTCCAAGATAGAATTGGAAACCTTTTGGAAGCTGTGGTCCATTGTGATCTATATTTATAAGGACTTTCTGCAGAAAAGAAAGACGTAACCTCTAAAAAGCTAAGAGAAAGAGAGCATGCTAATTGAATACATTTCATAGTGGAAAGCCCACTAGACTCGTTTGTAAGAGGCCGAAGGATAATGACCCAAAATGCCGAGGAATCTGCAAGTCAGAGAGGAGAGTCAGTGTCACCGAGAAGCTCAGGAATGGCTCTGCTGTGCAGGCATAGATGACAAGAGACCTCGTGTAGAACTGTCCTCTCTGATAACAGTGGTGCTGGAACAACTGTGGAAGTTGCTCATTATTTTAATGAGCAACAAAATTGAAGTGGCAACTGTGACTACGTCTAATAGTTATTAACATGTTTGTTTTTTATGTTTTCTAAAAGAATAATGGAGGATCAAATCTGAAGTCTGCTAAATAACAATGGAATATTGAATAATAAACAAAGTAATAGTATCAGGATACTAAACCAGGAATTAAGCCTGACAAATTAATAAGCCTTAGATAATCATATATTGCCACTGACCATATAAATACATTCTCTTAGAAAAGAAAATTGGGAAAAGAATGTGGAGATGGAGAAGAAAACAAATAGACAATTCTCCTCAGGTCTACATTAACTTACTACCCTTGTCATCATGGTCCACAAGGATATTCTTCAGAAGTTGTGTTGGTCTTCTGTATTGTCAGTGGCATGTTAGTTAGACTGAATGGCAACAAGCGGCAGGGATGCTGAATATCTTAGTATGAAATGTAACATTTGGGGACTAAAGATTGAGAAATCTGCCACAACATTGGAAGCTGTTTGGGATACAGTGATCTGAGAAAAGGATAATCTACAATCCAATATAAAGGACAAATTATTGTATCACACACCCACCATCTCTAAGAAGGAAGAAATGAGTCTCCAGAGGCTTTCACGGACACTGTAGAGAACATATTTCACATTTAGAGATGATGTTATCTGATCACTGGGTCACATTCCAAAAGGCACTATGAAAAGAGAAGTCTATGTGGAGGGCAGAGGTGCCATGTAGATTTCTAGTAAACTGCAGTGAAAATATCATAGCATACATGCTTGGGAATCTGGAGTAAAGTCAGACAATTTGCAAATGACAATTCTACAACTCTTGGATTTTAACTTCCGGCTTGCTTCTAGGCCATAGCACATACATACAGCTTATCTGAGTACATATAAAATGATGGTGTGTTAGTAAATTTGATTGTGGTCTTCACAACATATTCCATTATTAAATCATATCTTGCACTTCAAATATATATGATTCTTTAGTCATTTATATCTTAGTAAAATTGAAAAAAGATTAAATTACTCTGTTGATAGCAGCCAAACAGTTCTTAAATAACCTTGGTTCTTGTACAAGAGATGCATACGTGAAATAGTTTGATGGGAGAAATAGAGGATCTGCCTAAGCTCTCCCTCACTGAAGTTTTCTGGCCACTGCCACTGTCAAATATTTAGCATGCCAACAAGAAAGCCCTGTATGTGACATCATACTTCAAGGAGAACAACTTTGGTGACTGGTAAAGATATTTGATCTCTTCTACTATTAAAGGCCTAGTAACTCATCTGGAGCAATCAACATGTATTCTAAGTATGGGTTTTCCGTCCTTCCTTCCTTATAAGACCCACCACCACTGTTAGCTAAGAGTATATGAAGTTTGACTACCAACATGTGAACATACATAATGTCACACTGGTCCAAGAGATACTCTTCAGCTAAAAAGGTATGACAGCGAGTGCTTGGACATTGAACTCTTTGGTAGTTATTACACACTGGTCCACCCAGAAGGCCTAATGGACTGATGGAAGAGTGAAGTTAAGGGGCTAATTTGGAAAAACCATGAAGATGAGATCTAATCCTTCATGATGCAGTACAACAAACACTATACTATGTCTTGTCTTTGATACATGCAATAATTGAATCCCACATACGAGGAGGAGAAATGAGAGAGGTCTCACTACCATCATTCCCATTGAATTGGAGGAATCTATGCTGCCTCTAGTTGCGTGTTTAGAGGGCTTCATATTTAGAAATGCCTTCATCAGCAATATATTAAACTTCAAGCTGCAGTGGCTTCCTAGCCACCGTGAATTCCTCATGAGAAATAAACAGAAAACAAAATCACTATACTAGCAAGGATGATTAATCTTGATCATGCGGAAAAGGGATACACGATGTTGTAAATTGGGTACAAGAAACATTATGATTGATATTTATGTGATATATTTGCATTGACCTTGATATTTGCTTCTAATTTTGATGATAAATCAAGAGGTGAAGTTGCCATGAACTGGCAAAGGCATGGTGACCATGACACGCCAAATCTCTTAAGAGATAAAAGCATCTGGATCATCCCCACCATATGTAGCCCCAGCATATGCTTTAGTGAAGGGAATTAAAACTGTATGACAGACATGAGAGATGGT